ACTCTTTCAACTCATCCCTACCTCTCCTTCCCCCACTGTGTTTACACGTCTGTTCTCTATGTCTGCATCTCCATTGGTGCTTAGCAAATAGGTTTATCGGTACCATCTTTCTAGATTCCATATTATATGCATTAATATATGGCATTTATTTTTCTGACTTACTTCCCTCTGTATAATAGGCTGTAGGTTCATCCACCTCATTAGAACTGACTCAGATGCATTCTTTTTACAGCTAAGTAATATTCCATTCATCTTCTTTATTCATCCACAACTTCTTTATCCATTCATCTGTTGATAGACACCTAGGTTGCTTCCATGTCCTAGCTATTGTAAATAGCACTGCAATGAACATTGGGGTACATGCTTCTTTTTCAATTATAGTTTCCTCAGTGTATAGACCCAACAGCGGGATTGCTAGATCATATGGTAATTTTTTATTCCTAGCTTTGTAAGGAATTTCCATACTGTTCTTTACAGTGGCTGTATCAATTTACATACCCATCAACAGTGCTAGAGGGTTCCCTTTTTTCCACACTCTCTCTAGCATTTATTGTTTGTAGATCTGTTGCTGACGGCCATTCTGATGGGTGTGAGGTGATAGCTCATTGTAGATTTGATTTGCATTTCTCTAACAAGAGAGGTTGAGCTTCTTTGCATGTGTTTATTAGCCCAGGATTCAAAAGCTATTATCTAATCCAGCAAAGAAGTTGCTCATATCATGGACCAACATCCCTACATATGTCTTTGGTTATTTCACTTCCATCTTACTAGTTAACAGAAAGGAAAACATCAACCAACATTTACTACACTTGCTGATCAATAGCAACCATAATTTGGCTACGGATACAAGCATTCAGCAGAGATCAGCAAAAACACCCTGCAAAAATCAATCAGCTCTATGGAATTTATGAGTATTGCTTATTTTATCTTTATTTGTAAACTGTATGCTATACTTCCTTTATGTCAGTAATAGTAATAATGTTCAAACTTATATGCATCCATTTTCCCAGGGAGCCAGTTGTTAAGTATTTACCAGCACACCGCTGCCTAAACGCAGTGGTAGAAACAAGTTAACTAGCATAAACATGATTTGCAAAATAGTTAGTGTTAGTCACTCAATCGTGAGTGACTCTTTGCAACCCTATGGACCGTAGCCTGCCAGGCTCCTTTGTCCATGGAATTCTCCAGGCAGGAATACTGGAGTGGGTTGCCATCCCCTTCTGTAGGGAATCTTCCCAACCCAGGGATCGAACCAGGTCTCCTGCATTGCAGGCAGATTCCTTACAGCCTGAGCTACCAGGGAAGCCCTTGTAAATATATCCACAGCTGAAGAACCTAAAGAGCTGATGGGGAAGAGCGCTAAAGTGAAAAGGTAAAGGTAAAAAGTCCCTGTTCTAACTTGGGCTAAAGAAGAGTCAGGACTTCCGCAATGGCTCAGCGGTAAAGAATCTGCCTGCAATGAAGAAGACTCAAGTTCAACCCTTCGGTCAGAAAGATCCCCCGGAGGAGGAAATGACAACCCACTCCAGTATTCTTGCTGGGAAAATCCCATGGGCTGAGGAGCCTGGCGGGCGATGGTCCGTGAGGTCACAGTATCAGATGCAACTGAGAACCCACAGGAAGGGTAAACAACCAACATTCTGTGCCCCACATTTTGCACCCCGCGTGGAGGAAATCAATAGGGAGGTTATTCCTCATCTTTCAGTTTCTGCCACAGGTAAAGAAAGACAATAAGAAATCTGAGAGCAAGAAAGTTAAAAGGTCTTCTCTGTAATTAACTTAACAGGTAGATTAAGGTGCATAGACTCCCAGGGGCTCAGAGATAAAGGGGGTCCTCCAGCCTCTACCTAATTCTCTGAACCCTTTACTATTCATCCAATAAACTGTACTTTCTCCTCTAATGAGATTGTGACTTAATGTGGGAAACCTGATCTCCTTTGCATTAAAGCATTACTTTATAATTTTCAAATACAATTATATTAATTATCTCATTTGATTCTCCTAACAAATTTTTATAAAGCAGAAATGGCTACATTTTAAGGGGAAAAATATCCCAAGGAAAATGTAATATTTTTGTGTGCTTAATTTAATCATGGTTTTAAAACCAGACCCAAGAAAAATGCTGTATTTCTTTTAAATGTATTCATATCTGGTTCCTTAAAAGATTTCGGTATGGTTTTGTTTCTCAAGCACTCACTCTTTAACATTCTTCCTGACAAAGAAGACAAAACCCATCTGATCACAATTAACAAGGGGCAACCATTAATTTTTTAAACTGGCCTCTGCCTTTATCATGAAATCTTCTAAAAGGTAGACAGGCAATCTTTTTTTTTTTTTTTTTAGTCCTTGATCTTAATTTTCTTCATTAGTATAGAATATTGTACACAGTATGTGCTCAAGTAAATTAAGTAAGAATGGTTTTCCCAGCCTGCCTTGCATGAATTATAAGACAAACGCCATACTGGAGTGAGACACATAATGAGTTGTTCAAGGCTATAAAAGTCCCAAGCAGCCTCATGAAGGAAGGCAATTCAGAGGCAGTGAGACAGTAAGTATGTACAGTTCCTTTTCAGAGAGAAGGGATAGGAAGAGAAAACAGAAGGAAGGAGAGAGGGAGGGAGGGAGAGAAAGAAATGTCCATTTATAGAAGCCCTATAACATGTTTCAGGAACTTTCACAGATGTTGTATTCTGAATCTTCAGACAATCTGACTTGGTTACCATGAGCCCCATTTGACAGGTAAGAAGCTGAGATTCAGAGAGACTGACAGATAACAAAGATGTATCTGTGTGGCTCATCCTAAAGGCAAGATCACAGGTTAGACTAAGATTTCCTTCTAAAAAAGGGAACACTCTTGCACTGTTGGTGGGAATGCAAACTGGTACAGCCACTATGGAGAACAGTGTGGAGATTCCTGAAAAAACTGGGAAAAGAACTGCCATACGACCCAGAAATCCCACTGCTGGGCATACACCCCGAGGAAACCAGAAATGAAACAGACACGAGTATTTCAATGTTCACTGCAGCACTATTTACAATAGGTAGGACATGGAAGCAACTCAGATGTCTGTTGGCAGATGAATGGATAAGGAAGTGGTGGTACATACACACAATGGAATATTACTCAGCTATAAAAATGAACACATTTGAGCCAGTTTTAATGAGGTGGATGAACCTGGAGCCTATTATACAGTGAAGTAAGTCAGAAAGAGAAAGACAAATACTGTTTATTATGCATATATATGGAACTTAGAAAGATGGTACTGATGATCCTACATGGAATATTTTCTGTCTAGTCCTTTACAGAAAGCATTTATTGACTGGGGGCCTGGTTAACACACATTTTATGGACCCCACTCCTGTAATTTCTGACTCAGAAAGTCTGAGGTGGGTCCTGAGAATCTGCATTCCTATTAAGTTCCAGCAGAGGCACCCCCACGATATGCTGAGACACACTAAGATTTGAGGACATCTGGCCTAGAGCAAAAGTCAATAAATGCTTTCTGTAAAGGACCAGACAGAAAATATTCCAGGCTTTTCGGGCCAGATGGTCTGTGTTGCAACCAGTCAGTTCTGCTGTTGTGGCTCAGAAGCAGTCACAGACAATACTCAAGCAAATGAGTGTGGCTGTGCTCCAATAAAACTTTAATTATGGACAATGAAATCTGAACTTTATATCATTCTTATGTGTCACAAAATAGCATTTGTCTTTTGACCTTTTTTTCCAACCAATTAAAATTATGAAAACCATTCTTACCTCAAGGGTTGTACAAAAACAGGCTGTGAGCCATCACTTGCAACCTCTGCTCTACAACTGTACCCTGCCACCTACTAGGAGAGAACTCTCTAATTAGAACAACCACCCCAAGACGGGCAGCTCCCATACGAGGTGTCTGCGTGCTCAGTGCTAAGTCACGTCCGTCTCTTTGCGACCCCGTGGACTGTGTAGCCTTCCATGCTCCTTTGTCATGGAATTTCCAGGCAAGAATACTGGAGTGGGTTGCCATTTCCTTTTCCAGGGGATCTTCCGGACCCAGGCATCAAACGCATCTCCCGCATGACGGGCGGATTCTTTACCACTGAGCCACCTGGGAAGCCCCTCATAAAAGGTAAAATGTTGCAAAACCCTCTATGGTCCAATGAAGGCAGACAGCCTCTGTGGCAATTAGGAAGCCTTCTATGAGGTGACTATCCCTGCGGGCCTTATGTGATGAGTAGGTGTTCAACAAAGTAGAGACAATTAAGTTATGCAAAGAGAACGGCTTGGGCAAAGGGGTGAGGACTGGCAGATGCAAGACACCACCTTCCAAAAATGCCCACTTCCACCACAGATATTTCAGTCTCTTCAACTAAAATGTCTTGGGAAAGTGTAACATGTAAAAAGTGTTTCAATGCTTCTGTGAGCACCAACTAAACAGAAGCATTGAGAAAGGGACAAACTCCAACAACGGAAATAGCAGCTTGATGTGCAAAAGCCATCATCAGTGATACATTCTTCTTCTCTCCCTACAGGTCACCAGTTGCGGGGGAGGCTATCTTATCTCCTACAACAAATTACTTCTGGGTGCAAGTTCAACTGTGTGAAATATGCTCGAAGTATCATGCAATGCAAGAAATAATTCTCTCGAGATAGTTTCTAGTCATACAAATTCAGTCTCTTGAGATTTGTTTTGTTTTCCTAATTCGTTACATACCATCCAGTTGTTGGTTATTTTCAAACACAAGACATCCCTTTATGATCATAAATTAGTACCATTTCAGTGTTTTTTTTCCCCAGGTTACACTTTTTCATTAGATTTGCTTTGATACTAGCTATTAAAAGGAAATGCTCTCTAGTCTGGGAATATTTCCTAGAATAAGAAAGAAGCAAAATTGCCAAGTTGGTAAGGAGTAGTAATTTCCTCTCCTGATAGATTTCCAACTTCAGATAGCAGAGCCGTTAAGAGACCAAGTTCTTACTTCACATTCTCTGGGCCCAAATCCTTTGATCTTGTACTTACCAAGCTCTCTGCCTTTGACGCAAATTCTTTCTTTCTCAGAGCCTCAGTTTCCCTAACGATAAAATGGGAAAAAATCATTGTAGCCCATCTGGTTATATATGTGTTTGCACAGTACAGAAAAAGTGGCTCAGATAGTGTTAACAATCATTATTTCCCAGGGACCCCTTTCCTCCAAAACTAATCTACATCTCTTTTTTTTGGGGGGGGGGTGCTAAAATATTCCCCTCATTTGACGTTTTGATGTGGCCTCAAGTTCAAGGCAGGACCTGGCAGGAAAGACTTTTCGGGACCCCTTCTCCTTCCTTCCTCCATTACTTGGACCCAGGAGAGACCAGAAACTGCTCACCCAGCGGAGGGAGCCAAAGGCAGAGAAACGGAGCAAAGCTGACCACACAGCATCTCCCACCACCCACTTCCAGGACTGAAGTTTCACCGTTAGAGGGCCTGGAGTTTGGCCCCTTCCCCTGGATTGAACACATCCCTTACTGAGATGAGAATCTTGGGGACATAAAGTGAGCTGGGTGTTTTGTATTATTATTATTTGCGAATGGCTGGAAAGGCTAGCAGGCCCATCTGAGCTTCCACCATGGGCACGAGAGAGCTTGTCCCATGACATGGGTTGACTGGGCAGAGGGGAGAAAGAGATATAGCTGCTTGTGGTCCTACTCCAAGAAGCCAGTTACAACCACATGTGCTTAGACTGTCTGTCATTCTGTCTGCTGTGGCTGAGGTGGGGACAGTAGAAACGACTCAGACATAAAGACCTGAAGCTTTGCAGCCTGTTAACCCCCATGAAGTGCCATTTTCTCAGCTAAACACTGGGGATGAGAATAAGTGGGGTTTAAATGAGATGAGGGGTGCAGAGTTCTTTGCACAGAGCCTGCCATCCTGCAGAACGAACAGACGACAGCTCTGGGTGTTCTGATCATCAGTACACGTGTTCTCACGCCCACTCAGTGGTCACCTGTGAATTCATGTGCATCGTCACTAACAGCCACAGCAATCTGCAGTCAGGGCTTCATCTGTCACATCACCATACAGCAGAGCCTGCTACTATGGGCTCTTCTCCCCCCCCCCCACACACACAAGTAACACTGACATTGACATTTCTTTACTTAGTACCACTCTCCTCTCCTGACTTATTGGTCAGGGATGACAAGTTCCCAGGCTGGTAAGAGTAAGGGACAGGCTGGGGGAGAGGACGGAGAGCTGGCCACGCTGATCCTCTCTGGTTTGCCTCCCTCTCCCCTGCTCTGTCACACCTGGATACTTCTTTTTTCACACAAATCACACTTTGTTGCAATTATCTCTTGAATTAAACACTTTCTCCACTCTCTGTGAACTCTGTCAGAGCATGCTGGAATTTTCATCCCTGGATCTCCACTGCCTGGCTCCTGGATTTCTTAAATGAGTTAATGCTATTGTTATTTTTTATTGGTATATAATTGCTTTACAATGCTGTGCTAGTTTCTGTTGTACACCAAAGTGAACCAGCTGTTTTTCTTGTTGTTTTTCAGTCATTAAGTCATGTCCGACTCTTCTGGAACCCCATGGACTGTAGCCCACCAGGTTTCTCTGTCCTTGAGATTTCCCAGGCAAGAATACTGGAGTGGGTTGCCATTTCCTTCTCCAGGGGCTCTTCCTGATCCACGGATTGCACCCACGTCTTTTGCGTCTCCTGCATTGGCAGGTGGATTCCTTACCACTGAGCCACATAAACATATATCCTCTCCCTCTTGAGCCTCTCTCCCATCCCTTAAATGATTTAATGACATTATTTACCAAGGTGTGAGAATAAGCATCTCATTCAAAAGTACACCAGCACTGGGCAGGTTTAATCCCCGGTCGGGGAACTAAGATCCCACAAGTCATGCAGTGAGGCCAAAAACAAAAAAAGTGTATCAGCACATGCTCTATATAAATCTATATTTATACTTATAACCTTCCCTACAGACCATCACTCTAACCAAGGTTTTTCTCACTGAATCATTTCATTTGCCCAGCAGGAATTCCCTAAAACCTCTTTACCCCAAAATACAATGTGGCTGCTAACATTGCATTATGTAAAGCAAATCCAGGGTACTCCCTGAGATGCCTTAAACTGTGTCCCCCGGTGTCCAGAAGCAGTAGCTGCTTCCTGTGAAAGAGATCTCACTGACGGGAGGAAGTGGTGCCATTCTTCAAGGGAGCAGAAAATATGGTTCCAAGAGCACATCTACACAGCTAGGTGGCCTTCTTTTCCAGATTTGCCTCCACGTGAGCACTTCATAGCTTCCTTGAGACCTCTTATCCCCTGTGGTCCATGAGTATGCACAGAGTCGAGAGAAGGCATTAGTGCCTGAGAGCCTCCACCTCCCTGAGAGCACCACAGCTGCATGGCCATGTCACAGTCTGCCATGCCCCGTGGTCCCCGGCTGTGCCAGGGCAAGAATGCTGTTTCCAAAGCAACTGCACGGTGTGCCTTACAGATGCTGCAGGCAGAGAGCCCCACATGAATATGTGCAAACACAGTCACACACCAGTACGGGGACACACGTTAAGCAGGCACAGCTGAAAAACACACATGCACACATCCAGGCACTGATCTCCTATATTATAAAGTTGCGGGGCTGGAGAAGACTCTTGAGAGTCCCTTGGACCGCAAGGAGGTCAAACCAGTCAATCCTAGAGGAAATCAGTCCTGAATATTCATTCGAAGGACAGATGCTGAAGCTGAAGCTCCAATACTTTGGACACCTGATACGTATAACTGACTCATTTGAAAAGACCTTGATGCTGGGAAAGACTGAAGGCGGGAGAAGGGGGCGACAGAGGATGAGATGGTTGGACGGCAACACCAATGACGTTGGACATGAGTTTGAGCAAGCTCCAGGAGTTGGTGATGGACAGGGAAGTCTGGTGTGCTACAGTCCATGGGGTTGCAAAGAGTCGGACATGACTGAGCAACTGAACAACCACAATGAATCTTTTAAAAAGAAACAGACATTTTATTTCTTATTCTGGCCAGAGAAGTTAGCTTTCCAAGGATATACTTAGCTGGTTTCATATTTGCCCTTTAATATTTCTTACAAGTAAACAGGGGGAGATTGAAACCCAATAAATGCTCTGTATGTATTTGTAAATGTGTGCTGATCCCATTCATCCAACTCAGCTCCCGTGTTAGCTGGCAAGGGCTGAGAGGGTTAGGAATTATACCTGACCTTAGATGTGGGAGGTCCCGCTCTCCTAAGGCTTCAATTAGTGGCCTCAAATGAGTAATCCATCACCCCTGCTATTTCTTCCCCTCTCTTTTTTTCTGTTTTTCTTCCCTAAGACCCTACTCCTGTTGGAATTCCCCTCCCAGGAAAGTCAGAAACCTGAATCCACCTCCTGGTGTAGATTCTGGCTGCTGAGTGAGCCTGGGCAGAATCGTGTTGGTCCTGCAAAGTCTCCAGTCTACACAGGGCAGGCCCAGAGGCCAAAGATGTCCTCCAAAGAGCCGCGCGTCTCGGAGCGAGGGGCTGCCCAGTGCACATGTGCAGGGGAGCCGGCGCCTTTGCGGAACTGGAGAAGGGTGTCCCCTTGGGCTTAACGAGGGAAGCGGTGCTGGATTTCAGCTCCCACGCACGCACCCACTCCTGGTGGCCCTGAGCTCACTGCAGACTCTGTAAGAAGGGGGTCCGCAGCTTCGCCCACAGGCCAAGGCAACCGTGGGGTGCCACTTCACACACGCTCTCTCTCCACGCTCTTTTCTCCTGCTCAGATTCTTGGACCAAACATCCTCTCAACCTGAAGGATCCAAACCCTTGAAGGGAGCTCTGTTCTGTGCATGAGAAACCATGAGAGTCAGCGTGGTCAGGAGCCCTGGCTCCAAAGCAAGGAGCCCTGAGTTCTCACCCCTGCCCGTGAGACATGAAGCCGATTACTCAGCCTGGCTGTGTGCTTTTCTGTCTCTACCCTGGAGCGCCAATGGTTCCTACTTCCCCGGCTGGTTGTGAGGATGGAATGAGGGCACACAAATCAAACTTTTAGAACCTGACAGGTAGTAAGTGAAAGTCTCTCAGTCGTGTCCGACTCTTTGCGACTCCATGGACTATACAGCCCACGGAATTCTCCAGGCCAGAATACTGGAGCGGGTAGCCTGTCCCTTCTCCAGGGGATCTTCCCAACCCAAGGATCAAACCCAGGTCTCCGGCATGGCAGGCGGATTCTTTACCAGCTGAGCCACCAGGGAAGCAACATACAGTAAGCACTCAACAAATATCACCCGCTATTAGTTACCTGAATTAATTCCAAATATAACTAAATTTTCCAAAGTTACTGGCTGCTTTGGTTGTGTGTGCTTGTGTGTGTGTGTGTGTGTGTGTGTGTGTGTAAAATAATAGGTGCCCTTTCCCTGTCTGCCTGCCTGCCTTCAGCACATATATTTAAGGTGTTCATTCTATGGGAAGTTTATGGTCAGTATCCAGAAAGTGGGGCTTAAAGATGAGGCTGAACTTGGTGGGGTGGGTGGCATTCCAACGGGAGCTCTACCATAGGGTACCATGTTTATCTATTAGGACAATGAACAAGTCTTGACTTACAAAGTCAAAGGTCTTGACTCTACAAAGCACAGATTCTACAAGTGAAAAGGGGACAAGCAGTAAACTACAATGACACTTTTAGAGGCTGCCAATGAAGACATTTTGAACCAAGAAACGGAAAAACCACTGAGTGAATGTCTTTCCCTATTTCCTTGTGTGTGGTGCCAGTATGGGGTTTTCCGGCATGAGAGATGCACGGCGTGGCTTTAGGCCACCATCAATGCCGGCTTCAGTCAGCTGTCCCTGCCCAATGGCAACATTTCACAGGTCCACGCATATGGCAGTTCTTCCTAAAACTGTCTCTGAATTTCCAAGGCTGGCTTAGGTGTGTTCCCCATCTTTTCCTCTTAAGTCAGTGGACTGAATTGTTGGGTTATTTGTATCTCCCACCAGATTCCAAGTGCCAGGATGGCAGAGCCATTGCTTTGTTTTGGCATTGTGCCCTCAGCACCTAGCACAGCCCCTGACACCCAGTGGGTTTCAATATTCTTGTAAGTGAACAAACGATGGTGATAGAGGGGATGAGTCAGCGTTTTTGAGAGGACTGAGGATGGGTGTGGGCACTGAGTGGTGTGTATGAGAGGGGATACTTGGCCCAGCTCCCAGCCACATCCGGGCAACCAGACAAGTAATCATTTCCGTTCAAAGGCAAGGAAAAGGGGACTCTAGAATGTCCCGAAGCGTGGAGGGCTGCATTCATTAGTGGATCAAACAAACACCAGTGTACAAAAGAAAAGTGAACTTACAGACAATATTTCCAGAGTTCACAGCCACAAAACTCAGGATGCATGTACTGACACAAATCCCAGTTGTCAGTGTGTGATTTGGACCGAGAAACTCTGCACACGCGTCTTGGCCAGAGTGAGAGAGAAGTCAGCACAGGAAGACCAGACTGGACCCGCTGCAGGCAGGAGGGAGGCCAGTGTGGATTTAAGCCCGATGCCAACATTCATGGCTGCCATTGGCTGCGGTCCAGCTGCGGGCCTGCATCTGATAGGATGAGGGTTCTGAGCAGGGATGTGGCTGGAGGAGGGGTGCAGGAAAGGCCTGCAAAGGCTGCTGGGAAGCCCAAGTGCCTAGGGGTAGTGGGAGGGGGAGGGGAGGCCAGGAAATAGGAGGAAGTTTAGACAGCATCATTCCCTGGGGGCACTGGCCGCTTCTAGGTCACAAGCAAGAACTGCTAGCAGAACAGAAACTTGGCTGGGAAAAAAAAAAAATTTTTTTTTTTGAAGCTGCTGAGTGAAACTTACCTCTTTAAGTGCAGCCAGTTCCCTTACTGTGTGATCTCAAAGTGGCAGTGGGCAATTTCTGTGCTATCTTTGGAGCAGCATTCTCCAGGCCAGACCACTGGATGGAACTGGGAGGTGGGTCATTCAGAGGCTTCTTACGTGCGAACATTTTGGAGGCAACAAGTGCTTGCCAGGGACCTCCATTGTGCAGTGGAACCCAGCAACCTAGAAGAAGGTTTCAGGCCCAGCTGGTGAGGTCAGGTTTGAGGCAAATAACAAACAGTAATAAGTGAAACCCAGCTGTCAACTGAGCCCCCCCTACCCCCACTGCATGTGTCCTGTGACATCGCCGATGCTCTTGCTTTTCTGAAAGTATCCACACTCACACCCTTCCTCAATCTCCTTTTAAAAGCAAAACTAAAGAAATTTGTGTGCTTAGAGGAAATGGAAGTTTAGGTGGGTGGAGCAAAGCAGAGAACTTAAAATTAAATGTTGAACATCTTTTAAGATTCCTTTGCCTAAGTCAGTAACGACTCCACCAGGAGCCCCATGCTGAGACAGATCTCTGGTTCTCCTTCTACCTTCTTCTTTCCATTTTTCTCTCTCACCTCCTCACTTCTTGATTACCCTTGGGAACTTCAAATTCTCTTCCTTCTCTCTTGGGAAATCATGAACCCTCTCTGGTTTCCACTCCCTAACATATCACTGGATTCACTACTGGAAAGCATGTTCATCTGAACCTCACAATTGCCACTATCCTTAGGTAGAAGTGGTTGGTTAACGACATCATTTCTCTTCTCATATTAGGATCAATTATCATCTCTTGCCGGGTCTCTCAATCTCCAGACTCCTATCAGTCCAAAATCAGCCGTCCTGAAACATCACTTTTATCCACTCACTTCTCAGGCTTTGAAAGTCAAAGTTCATTACCTTCTCCCAAATTTTATTTTCTGTCCACGTTCCCAGTCTCACAAAACATCCATCTAAATGACCAAACCAGAGTATTGATATCTTCTACTCTCTTCATATCCAGCTGGCCACCAAGACCATTAGATTCTCCCTCAGAAATGTTTGGTCAAGAATAATGTTCCAGGGACTTCCCTGTTGGTCCAGTGGTTAAGACTCTGACTTCCACTGCAGGGGGCATGGGTTCAATCCCTGGTCAGAGAACTAAGATCCTGCATGCTGTGGAGTCAAAAAGTAAATAAATAAATAAATAAAAATAAAAAATTTTTAAAATACTATTTAAAAAAAAAATGATGGTCCAGATGGGTGTTCAATGGAGAGAAGGCAGATGTTATGATTAACAGTTCTACTAGAAATACATGGAATGAGAGAAGGGAGGTTTCCCAAAAGAAGTACGACAGGCAAGCAAAACCCACAATAGCATCTCAGCGAGGAATTTAGGAGCTGTGATATTCACAGGTTTTGAGAGCTGGCTTCAGAAAAGTGTATGTAGAGAATCAAGTCACAATCACATGACACCAGCCCCTGAGAAAGAGGAACTGGAACGATCAGACTGGGGTAGGCATTGGGAGGTGGGGTATGTCCTAGAGAAAGAGATTGAGGTACCAGACCACTGTCAGAAGTAGGGCAGCCATAACAAAGTACCAGACTGGGTGGCTTAAACAGCAGCAATTGATTTTCTCATAGCTATAGAGGCTGGAAATCCAAATTCAAGGGGTCAGCAAGGTTAGTGTCTTTTTTTTTTTTTTTAACTCACTGAGCTTTCAAACTCTTTGTACCATTAAAAAAAAATATTTATTTATGTGGCTGCATTGGGTCTTAGTTGCAAGATGTGGGATCTTCCGTTGTGGTGTGTAGGCCTAATTGCCCCATGGCATGTGGGATCTTAGTTCCCCAACCAAGGATTGAACCTGTTTTGAAACAAATTGAGCCAATGGTGCACTGGGATGACCCTGAGGGATGGGATGGGGAGGGAGGTGGGAGGGGGATTCAGGTTGAGGAACACATGTACACCCAAGGCTGATTCATGTCAATGTATGGCAAAAACCACTACAATATTGTAAAGTAATTAGCCTCCAATTAAACTAAATAAATAAATAAAGCTTTCCAGGGAAAGTTTAAAAAAAAAAAGACTTTGTATGGCAGAAAAGAAAATAAAAAATAAATTGAGCCAAGATATTTTTTTTAATACTATTTTTAAAAAAAAGAATGATGGTCCAGATGGGTGGTTCAATGGAGGGAACGCAATGAAACCTGCCTGGAAGGTGGATTTGTAACCACTGGACCACCAAGGACGTCCCAGGGTTAGCATCTTCTGAGACCCCTCTCCTTGGATTTTAGTTGGCCATTCTTGCCCCCAGTCTTCCCATGGCCTTCCCTCTGTGTATATCTGAGTCTAAGCCCCTCTTCTTATAGGGGCATCAGTCAGATTGGATTAGGACCCACCCTAGTGGCCTCATCTTAATTACCTCTTTAAAGACCTGTCTCCAAATACAGGCACATTCTGAAGTGCTGAGGGTTAGGACTTTTGAATTTTGGGGCAGGGGGGCGGGGGGGACACAATCCAGCCCATAACAAGGGACCACAGTCAGAACCAAACTGTCAGCAGCAGGATGACTTGATGATGAATCTCAGAGAGAAGAGGCCAGAGCTGCTCAGGAGCCTCCAGTGGCCTCGAGCCAAATACGCTCCCCAGGCCCTTCTCATTTATGACACTTTTGTGTTTTATTGACCGACTTCTGAGATGGAGTTGGTTAGGGGCTTTGAAGCATCATCAATCATTAAAGCAGAATTAACTCAGTCACAGCAAACTGCATTCCATTCACATTTTAAGGACAGAAAAACCTTTCCAGATCATCTAGAAAGCAGAAGGGCGGGCTGCTTTGGTCATGTTAGCGAGTTACCGGGAACTGAAAGCTTGGTTTTTATATCATGAAACTCCAAACCTGGATAAGATACAGTCTTTCTCCCTAAGACACAGAAAAGTATAACTGAAAAAGGCAGGTGTCTTTTTCAGGCCCTTTATGATTCTATAACACAGAATTAAGTCTGGTAGAAGAATAAAAAATGAAGAACCATCATTTTTGTAGGCCTCTTTGCTTTCACGGGTGGCGCAAACAGGGCCATGCTCTCACTGAACGCTCTAGGAGTAGAATCTGCTCCAGGCCTCTAGTCATCTGTAACCTGACATTTACACATGAATTGCATTTCACGTGGAATGTGGGTACATTTTATTATGATGGATGGGATGTAAGAAGGTGCATCACAAAGTGGGAGTGCCAAGGGCTTCCTGTGCACATCTTAAAACAGCCAGCTTTTGCAGCGTGGCCTCTACGTCAAGAGAATCTAACCACAACACCCACCTTGTAGAGCTTTTGCATTCCGTGGATTTCAAGGTCTCTATAAAACTGCGCCTTCTGCGGGCTGCTGGCAGACAGGGGGCCCTAATTCACCTTGCCCTTGGAGGCCTTTCACATGGATTTCCTGCAAAAATGCATCCCATTGGAGCACCCCCGAGGCTGGCAGCCAGCAGCCTCGCAGGGGCAGAGGAAAGCGGGCTGTAACTGGGTAAATGCCTCCGCTGGGAGCAGCCTGTGGCCCTTGAAGCCACAGCTCCTATACACCTCCGAGAGGGAGGGAACAGGGAGCCTGGGATGCTTCATTCCCCTGTCAGTCACGGGGAAGCAATTCTTCAGGTCATCAGTCAAGAGTCTCCTTGGAAATGAGAAACGAGCCTGAACACCAGGCCGTTTAAAAAGATATTTATTGTGAAATGTGGAGCCAGCAGCGCCTTCTCAGAGTCGAGACAGACGCTCAGCATGAATTACGCCGGCTAAGCCTGCTGAAGCAGGCGGCAGGTACCCGGGCAGAAATGAGATATGACCTCGAAACCATCATGACAGACAAAGGCCTGAGAGGAAAGCGCACGCGTGTGGGGGGCTCGGGACATCAGGCCTTCCCTAGGCCTGTGGGATGGAACCCCAGAGACCCCATAGCCCAGGGCAGAGGGCAGTCCTGGTGGCGCTCGCCAGAGGGTCTGCAGCCCTGGGTGGAGAGTGAGGCTAAATTCATTACAGTGTGAATGGAAGATGATGGCTGGAATGACTTGTCTGGAACCTGCTCTGAAATACTCCAGAAAGAAAAATATTGGGGGGTGGATAGATAAAACAAGAGTTTCCTCCCCGCAAATTTTTTTTTAAATATTGTTTTGGATAAAGCAAGATATTGATGATGGCTGAAGCTAGGTGGTGAGTATTTGTGCTGTGTGCTCAGTCGCTCAGTTGTGTTTGACTTTTGCAACCCCACCCACCAGGAACTCTTTGGGACCGTAGTCCACCAGGCTCCGAGATCTCCCAGGCAAAAATACTGAAGTGGGTTTGCCATTCCCTTCTCTAGAAGATCTTCCCAACCCAGGGATCAAACCCACGTTTCCTATGTCTATTGCATTGGTAGGCAAATTCTTTAGCACAGAGCCACCTGGGAAGCCTGGTGAGTATTTGGGGGTTCGTTAATTTTTCTACTTTTGTATAGGCTTTGAAAATGTCAATATTGAAAAAAAATTGGAAGCAAATGGGTCTTTATCCTGCATTCATGGATCTTATCTCTCTGCAGATCATTTTTGAATCATGACTTGGCCACATTACACATCCTAGACGCTACAAGAACTTGCAAACTGCAAAATTATATTTTGGAATATACATACACACATACATATATTGTACGTGTGGACACATTAATACTGTAATTACTATAC